TGGGTTAATGTTGGACTTGTGGGCTTGGGCAGCATTTAGTTGGGATGTTTTTTTGATGCACACTTTCTTTACATAAAACTCTCTTATACATGAGTTGCTGTGGATTTGTTTCTCTAAAGTACCTAGACTATTACATCAGCATACTTGTCGGGTTGGGGAGGAGGGGTGGGGACATGGCAGGGCGAGAATCGCAAATACAATTGAACACAAGATTGGCATTCTCAGCCACTGTGGTCGGAACTGTTAAACAGTACATCCACTGTGGAAAGTAGTATGGTGCTTTCTCCAACACTGACTAGAAATATGTGTGACCCAGCAATCTCTGTACTTGGTACATACCCTAAAGAAACAGAGAACACTGCATGAGAAGATAGATGCATACCTATATTCATTGCAGTACTATATACACTAGCAAGACAATGGAAACAACCTGACTGTCCATTGATGGAAGAATGGTTAAACTTTGGCACATGCACACAAGGTAAAACTGCCCCTGGAGTTTCTAAGACTGCAACTCTCTATGGGGCTGTAACCCTTTCTGGCGCCATCTTTCTCTCGCAGAGTAGCTGGTGGTTTTGAAGTGCTGATTTTGCAGTTAGCAGCCCAACATGTAGCCACTATGACACCAGGGCTTCTATCAGAAGGACCCCCTTTGCAATCCCCAAAAGAAAGCCATCACCATAGCCTTCTGAACTGACCTCATATACCTTGACTTGTCTCAGCAGAGGAAACTACTTTGATAGAATCTTGTTTCTGAAAGTAACCTCATGGAGCAAAGACAAGTGAGGGAACTTGTCTACAGCCACCCACTGCTCACAGAGACTTGTCTAGTTTGCGTTGAATGTATAATGCTCTATATTTACCTTCCTTACTTGGAATAGTTTGAGTTTTTGTGAATTTTATAGCCAATAAGTGGGTTTACATATGGACTCTGAGAGTTTTCTAAGGGGGGAGGTTAGATTGTTTCTTAGTTATTTACTCTGTAACTCAAGGCAGTATTGAACACAAAATATGTTCTTAGTACATTTGTAGTGGGTTGAGAACACTGTGTAATAATTGATATTATTGGGGGATTTTTTTCTTACATGTGATTTGCATATAGAAAGTTGGGAACTGCAGAGTATGAAATATGGCGCTGGGCATGTTAGCTTTCAGTAGCTTGATTACAAGTCCTTATATGTGGCACATGAGAGTTATATTAGGAAAATTATGTTCTCTATCTTTAAGACTTTAAACTTTTAAACTTTAGATTTAAACTTTAGACTTTAAACTCTATTTTTAAAGACAACTTTCTTTTTACCCATGGCCATTACAATTTTAAGGCAGTTTTAATAACGTGTAGAGAAACAAGCTTAATATGTTATGTATTCCTTCTTCAGTATTACAATGAGATACATATTCAATATTAGCAGTTTGAGATTATAGATATGTTAACTTGTTTTTAAGTCCAAAAGGTCAACAATGAAAGAACTATAACTTTAATTTAATATTTTTACATATTTTTCTACAAAACTTCCCAACATTCATTAGCATTCTAATTGTGACCAGTTTTATAGATTTTAATAAGGATATAATCCAGGTGAAAAATACACAAATATTATTAATACACAAAATTATATTAATCTGTGAGAAATAACTATGTTTACATTCTTATTATTCCACACAACCCAAGTTTAATCTTAAATAACATAGTTATATCCTTACAATGTAGGACTGGGTTAGGGAAATTACAGAAGTGATAAAGAACAAAACAAAGAGACCTCTTCTTGCACACACACACCCAAAAAGGGGGTGTACAGCAATTGCAGTAATGTAAATTAAAGATAAATGTACATTAACTATAAACAAGAGGGCTTCAAAATCTCGTGGAAAAATCTCAAGATCTCTTTATTCCATTGTTCCAAGAACTTTTTCACCCCCATGAACTTTCTGAAACCCTCCTCCTATATATCTTTTATTCTATACAACCTCTTAATTAATATTTGCCAAAGTGAGAAAAATTTTATTCTCTCAAATTGAAATTTCTTGTCAATTGAAAAAAAGTAGGTGTAATTTTGAAAACATATGAAGGGCTTCAAAATGTTCTTGGGAAAATGGAATAAAAATATAATGGAATTTTCACACAAATTTTGGAAGTCCCCTCATATGTTTCCAAAATTACAATTGTATTATGTTCTAATTAAGTCATTTAGATGAAAATTTCAATTACACTTTATCAATTGTCATTAAGCCAGTAAACTTTTTCAATGAATATTGGAAAATAAATATTTATTCAGAGGGATTGCAGATGAAAAATGTGGCTATTTCAGAATTATATTCACTAGTAGAGAATTTAAATCTTATCAGCTGAATTCAAATTTAGTCCCTAAAGAGTACTTAATTTCATAATTGTTTTATTTCATTGAAACAACCAAGTTCAATCTAAAGACTTGATTATCCCTTTCTTCCGTTACTGATTTCACATCATAAAGTTCATGAACAAACTTGCAAAGTTAATGCAGGTAATCTCTAATATACATCTCTACTTAATTACCAATAAACATTAGTAAAAACAATCCTACTTCAATTAGGCACAGCAATTTCCTTCTGTTTTGTAAATAATAATTTCTAACCCAGCTCAGCTACCAATCACATTTAAAAAATATGGATTTGAAAAACAAAAAGTATCAGAGGCACACTTTAAAAAAGCAACTATAAGTATGAGATCTGCATTTCACAGAACCAGTGAAGTTCTGTTTTATTTTATGGCTATTTGGTTTAGTTCCTTTTTGTGGGCAAAATTAGTATGCAACTCTCATTCTTGTAAATAGTTAAAAACCTAAGAGAGTCAAACCTAATATGGTACTGTCAGCTAAAGACAGGTAAACAAACTAGCACCATAAGATAATTCTTCTAAATCTTAACACTGTTCATTAGCAGTTCCATTTTCCTGAGTTTGCGCTTGTTCTTTGGCATAGGTTTAGGATATAATCCACTTTTCAGAAGATGTTCTTTGCTGAGGCGAATTTGAGCACCATGCTGAAGCTGGAAAGAGCATAAAGCTTGAAGAGGTCGAAGCAAAATCTGGTTCAAAAGGAGAGAAAAAAGATAAGACTAAAAAAGTATCTGTGACAAGTGGTCATGATAATCTATATAGATATTTCTTTTTAGAATCAGGTATTATTGCATTCAATTTTGCTATTATTAGCTTTTAAGTATACAAAACAATCGACATTTTAATATATACAAATTTCTAAGTAAATATCACCTTCAATTCATACTTTGCATACTACCAAAGAATTATAGTAAAAAATACAAATACTCTTTATTCACAGAGAAAATAAGATCTAACCTTAGTTTTATACTTGATTTTCAAAAACACCATGAAAAATGGTTGCTATTCACACTCATGAATGTCTATTGCAAGCAGGATAAAGGAAACTTACAGTTAAAAATATATAGCAAAAGCATAAATAGCAAAAAACAAAATGAATACATGGGACCTAAAAGTTTAACCACCACTTCTCTGTCAGTTTTTCATTCTGTAGTGATTAGTGTATTACTGTGATTCTGGAAGCTATGTCATTGGTATTTTAATCAAATCCCAGCAGAGTCACCCAAAGTGACCAGGTATCAGCTTCTAAGCTAAGAACAGGCTATGCCTAAGGAATAAGCTAGCTACTACTGAGAAAGTCTATGAAAACTCTATGGCTAGCATCGTAACATTGTCAGTTACTGAAAACCTAATGAATAAAACACTGTCTGAGATAGCACAAGAAGAGAAGTCCCTCGGGTCAGAAAGCACTCAAAGTATTACTGAAAAAGAGCTGCCTTCTCAATGTAGAGGTGACCATAATGATGCCGAAAGAGTAAAGCCTGTGGGAGTAAGGCTTTTAAGACCTTCATTTGATGATAGGAAATAACTCAAAAGGAGAACAGCTGCAAAGATCTATTAATAATTGAAATTTGGAATATATGTGCATGAATCTATGAAAATTGGAAGATGTCAAAAATGGAATGCATAGGATCAGTATTTCAGGTTTAAGTGAGCTGAAATGGACTGCTGTTAGGTGTTGTGAACCAGAAAACCATATGTTTTACTATTCCAGGAAAGACAGATGCAAGAGGAATGGTATTGTATTCAATGTCAAAAAGGACATTTCAAGATATACCTTGAAATACAATGCTGTCTGTGATAGAACAGTATATATCCAGTTACATGGAGATGCAGTCACCAACCAATTCAGCTATTATTCAAATGTATGCAAAAACAACTAAAGCAATGATGTAGAAACTAAAGAATTTTTGCAGTTACATAATTTCATGTCAACTTCATAAATAAAGTATAGGGGTGGAGTTGAGCCTGTCAAATAAGTCGCAGCTAGATGACCTAATTTGGAAGCACGACTGAGATAAATAGCTCTTTGGAAGCTGGCCCCTCTCTCTCTCTGCTTCACATTCCTGTTGGTGAGCCATGGCTGAGATCTTCCAGGGCCATGTGATGCTTCCATCACCATTGGATCCACAAGACTCTGCCCCCACCGGCCTGTGATCTTCCTGCATTCTCCATCATTGCATGTAGCTGAATTAGTCTGAAAGGGATTTATGGACTAGTATCGGACTTATGGACTTGACTGGGCTGGGATGTTTTCTTGACGTCCAATTATCCCTTGATATAAAGCTCTTTCTTACACATATATGAGTGTCAATGATTTTTTTTTTCCTCTAGTAAACCTGGCCTAACAAATTCTATCAACGTCTTCGGCAAGAAAGAGGGAGATATTCAACAAGATAGATTGATACAGTGGCTGTATTGATGGACTCAAACATAAGAACATTTGTGAGAACGGCCTAGCATTGGGTGGGCAGTGTTTCCTTCTGTTGTACAGAGGGTTGCTATTAGTCAGAAGAGACATGATGGCATCTAACACCACTACCACCACCACCACCATCACCTTCAGTTTGGAACTGATAAACATGCAATCAAGATGCATTGATTGTTATTGGTGACTAGCACGGAAAAGTTATAAACAAAACAAAAGGACTAACAGTTGGTAAATAAGACATTGGTGATATAAATAAAGCTGGAGATGGCATGAGAGAATTTTGCAAGCCCAATGACTTATTCATTGCAAATACCTCTTTCCAACAACACAAATAGTAACTATACAAGTATACTTCTCCAGATGGAATACACAGAAATCAAATTGACAACATCTGTGGGAAGAGACCATAGTAAAATCAGTATCAGTAACTAAAACAAGATATGCAGCCAATTATGCAACAGACCAATAATTGTTCATATGTAAGTTCAGGTTGAAGCTGAAGAAAAATTTAAAAGTTCCTATTAGAGTCAACAGGAACCTTGGTGACATAGTGGTTGTTTGAGGCTTCGAACCATAGGTAAGCTGTTTGAAACCACCAGTCACTCTGCAGAAGAAAGATGAAGTTTTTCACTCCTGTAAAGAGTTACACTCTTGGGAACTCACAGCAGATGTCCTACCCTGTTCTATAAGGTAAAGATACGACAACATGGCAGTGAGTTTTATGACAGCCAAAATACAACCTTGAGTCTATTCCAGCTGAATTTTAAGAACATTTCTAGAAGGGATTCCATGCATTGAACACTTAAGCTGTGAGAGAACATCAAGAATGTCATTTCGTCCTCATACATGACGAAAGCAAAAAGTTATTAAAGACAGGAAAAAATAAAAGACCAAAGTGGATGTGAGAAGAAACTCTGAAAGTTGTTCTTTTTCATAGAGCAGCTAAGACAAATAGAAGAAGTGATTAAATCAAAGAGCTAAACAGAACATTTCAGAGGGCAGCTAAAGAAGACAAAGTAAAATATTAAATTATAGCTCTAAAGTTAGAAAACCACAAAGGAAAAAGAACTCAAGCGGGAATTCAAGCCTCAAGTTGCAATATTGAAAGAGTCTATGGGAAAAATATTGAATGATACAAGGAGCATCCAAAGACGGAAATAATATGCACAATCACTGTACCAAAAAGGACTAGTCCACATTCAACCATTTTAGGAGGTAGCAAATGAGCAAGAACCAATGATACTGAAGGAAGCACCCCAAGTGGACTTAAGGAAGCAGCCAAAAAGAAGGCTCTGGGGATTGATGGAATGCCAATTGAAATGTTCTAACATGATAGTGAAGCATTGGAAACACTCACAAGTCTATGCCCGGAAATTTGAGATACATCTACTTGGTGAACTAACTGAAAAAGATCCATATTTGTACCCATTCCAAAGAAAAGTGAGCCAACATAACATTCTAGTATAAAACAATATCATTAATATCACATGCAAGTAAAATTTTGCTGAAAATATCATTGCTGATATCAGTTGGATATTGGCTGAAAGCAGAGAATAACAGAAGGCTATTTAGTTGCATTTTATTGACCCTGCAAAGGCATATGACTGTATGGATCATAAAAAACTATGGATAGCTTTGAGGAGAATGGGAATTTGGGAAAACTTCATTGTGCTGATGTGGAATTTGTGCATGGATCAAATGGTAGTTGTATTAACAAAACAAGGGGATACTTCATAGTTTAAAAATCAGGAAAGGTGTGCATCAAGGTTATATCCTCTCACCATAATTTTTCCATCTGTACACTTAAGAGATAATCAGAGAAGCTGGATTATATGAGGAAGATAATTACATCAGGATAGGAAGAAGGCTTATTAAAAACCTGACATATGCAGAAGAAATAACCTTGCTTGATGAAAGTGAGGAGGACATGAAGCACTTGCTGATGAAGATCAAGGATTGTAGCTTTCCTTACAGATTACAGCTGAATGTAATGAAAACAAAATCCTCTCAACTGAACCAATAGGTAACATCATGAGAAATAGGGAAAAGATTGAAGTTGTCAAGGATCTTTTCTTCCTTGGATCCACATCCAATGTTCATGGAAAGAACAGTCAAAAGATCAAAGGACCATTTCATTGGGTAAATCTGCTGCACAAGATCTCATTAAAATGTTGAAAAGAAGGGAGATTACTGTGAGCACCAAAATGCACCTTACCCAAGCCATAGTACTTCCAATTGGTTCATAAGCATGTGAAAGTTGGAAACTGAATAAGGAAGACTTAAGAAGAGTAGACATACTTGAATTATGTTGTTGGTGAACAATACTTCAGGCATCATGAACTGCCAAAGGAGCAAACAAATTTGTCCTAGAAGAAGGACAGTCAGAATGCCCCTTAGAAGCAAGAATGGTGAGACTTCATCTCATATAGTTTGGACATGTTGTCAGGAGTCACAACTCCATGGAGAACATTATGCTTCGTAAAGCAGAGGGGAAGAAAAAGAGAAAGGCCCTTCACAAGGCGGATGGACACAGTGGGCTCAAACATTAAGAACAGTGTAAGATATGACAAAATAATAATAATTTATAAAGTATTAAGGGTTCATGAGGGAGGGGGGACCGGGGAGGGAGGAGAAAAAATGAGGAGCTGCTACCAAGGGCTCAAGTAGAAAGCAAATGTTTTGAGAATGATGAGGGCAACAAATGTACAAATGTG